ATTCTCAATGGAAACCGAACGATGAAGGATCTCAAGAAGAATTGAATAAACGCCAAGCGATTCAGCGATTTTCCTATAGAAGGGAAAGAATAGAGCACTCAGTTTTGATGAATCTCTTTGATTCCTACCTCCATTCAGAATCGCGGCAGAGTTTGACTACAGTTTGGTCTATAAATTGGTCCACGGTGGAAAGCCCACTATTTTACACTCTCAGAAGGAAATTTGTACCAGTCTTGATGGTATGAAAAGCTCGCTTAATCTGAGCGGGATCTGATTCAAGATTTGGCCTCGACCATGAGCGCAGGTGGCGCTAACGGCCACTACAAACTCTATCCACCAGTCGTGACAACGCTATGGAATTCAGGTTTTAGTAACCATTTTACCTGTAATTTATGCTGTTGGTCTGGTCGAGGTCCTGCCGACTGGAGCCATTCTGGCCGTATAGAAGCGGGTGGAAGGGCACTGGCGTTTCGCGCAGAATTGGAAACGCTGGCGTTTCACTGCGAGCAAATGTGCTCTGAAAAGATCAACTTTACAAAGAGCTGTTCACCTCAGAGAACGGTTAGCGCAGTGAGATCGCCTGTTCGAAACTTACTGGTTCCACCAATAATGCGAAATCGAAACAGACTGAATAAACTAACATTTTCAGGGAAGTATCGGTTAGGTGTTTCAGATCGGTGAATCGTTCCACTAGCGTACAGCTCTCGCTGAGGCGTTTCAGCTCGATAAATAGCGGCTGCGACACGTTCCTGAAAGGATAGCACATCTTTTCTATGTCTCCACCCGCTGTACTCAGAAATTACCTGTCCTGAGATATACTTTGGTGGCTCATTGTTGTTGCGCTGTAAAGTGGTGTCCGCGTATTGAAATGGTGGTCGTTCTGTACCGAAGGACTGACGGCGCAGAAGTGTCGGACGTGATTCGGATCGCGACTGCTCCTGATGCGACATTCCACGAAGGATACTGCTCGCAGGCTCACGGCGACCAACTGATTGCGGTAAATGACCGTTCGGGATGTGCTGTTCGGATTTTGACGTGTATGGCGTGGAAGTCGAGTTACCCTGAAGGCAAAAATAAGAACTCATCGAAAAGGAAAAAAAAGTAGGAAGAAAAAGAACACGCAACCTTGTTCGCTGCGGATGCTGGGGCGTGTCAGGGGGCTCGGCTTTGAGCGGATGTTACTCTACCGAATGTTGAAGAAGTCAAGCGACAGGAAATAAAGGAAAATGTGTTGGCGCGCGCTAAAGAAGCCGGCGCCGCGCTAACAAATACTACATACTAAGGGTACCATATCACCGCTATGGCCATAGTGTCCATATCTCAGGGCAAAAGGGCGTCTCGCGCACTTGACTGCGAGCGCGGAGGTGGTTGTGAGAGGCCACACGGAACAGAAGCAGAGACGAATGTACAATAGAAGAGAGTTGACGCAAGCCTCGCAGACCTCGTACTTGATTATGAGTGAAGATTCAGTGGGAATCGGTGAGAGAGAGTAGACAAGAGGCGAGAGAGAACACAAGCGTGCAAGACGACAGACACCAGTGCAGGGCGGAGTCACTTGTTCGGGAGAGTCCGCTTGAGCGAAGGTTCACGTTGACAAGCCACCAACAACTTCCTCAAGTGAAATCTGGTAAAGGCTGCTTAAAGTCAGACGCCACACTCCTCCCGCAAGACTTCATTTTTTGCAAAAAAAATTGGCGAAATGAGCCGCCATAATACTGTAACTTTACGCACTGCTCCCTGCGATGTTCGGTTCAGACCTTATTAGATACTTCTACTCCTCAACCACTTTTTTGTCGACTTAAACAGGTCTCACGCTTGGTGAAATGGTATACCCTCTGCCCAGCTGTGGACGCTCCATGTTATCTTACCGTGACTTCACAGGTTTTCTTAAGCGGGCATTGGCATCATCGATGAGAGCAGCAAATTGCCCCCCCCAGCCCCACCAACTGCGCCTTTTTTCCTTGCATCTTAGTGCTTTCGTTCAGGTAAAGCCAACAACTTTCTCAGGCATACAGTAAAGTCCGTTCCCTTCGCTGGGAAGTTTTAATAACTCTTAGAGGATCCCCAACTCTTTTGAGTCACAACGCTTCATCGGCCGCTATTCCGCCGTTCAGCCGCGTTCGCAGCGATGAGAATACAAAACGCTCACCTGTCGTTTCGCGGCAAAATCTCTACAGTTTCTGTTTTTCTAGCACCTCTTTTTACACTCTCTTCAGACAGGTATTCATACAATTTTTGGTGGACAAGTGGTTTTTTTTTGTACTTTTTGAGATTTATTGGAGGACCGAGAAGATTTGTGCTAGGAATTACCATACAAAAATAGTGCAACATACCTATGAAGAAGTTAAATACGACATTCTTTGAGTTGTTTTCTTGTGATTCTTCTCCTCATTTTACTAGGAAACTTCTCTTTTCTTTTGAAAAAATAGTCTGATGCGGATGCTGGAGTCACTAATGAGTACTTCTTCCGAACGATTTCTCAGCAAAGTAGACTTTTTCAAAAATACGAAATAATGTTCGCGCAATTATTTGTGTAATATTTGCATTTATTTGTACAAACTCTAGTAAAAAAGAAGGATAATCACAAGTGAACAGACAAATGAGGTGCATGTACTCCCGGAAGCACCTGAATGTCCGAGAGGGCAGTTTTTTCTTGTACTCCCGGGAGCACACTCCTCCTAGAACGTGCTAGTATAATTTCTAAATGCTTGCATCATTATTTGTGCCAGGTTGTTAGTAAAAAAGGAAAAAAAACCACAAAAAACAGGCGAGGACGCGCGTGTCTCCCGAGAGTATACTATTCGCTGAAAGGGGAGTTTTTGTTTGTACTCCCGGGAGTTCACGCCGCCTCGAACGTGTTAGGAAGCTGATGTAGTATTGGCTGCAAAGCAGTTTTGAAGTTCCTCAGTTGTAAATAAGCGAGCTGGTGGAGCGAGTTCGATAGAGCCAACCCAGGCATTCGCTTATGGCAGAAACAGAAAGGAGCATAATGACAGGGTAGCTTTGGCCAATCCATACACTGAATTCTCAACTGCCAATTTGAAAGGTGAGACGGTTTGAAAGGGTAGGCAGAACACACTGATTGCCGAAGAGTCTGCAGAAAACTTGCACCAGTCGAGCATAAAATCGGTCTAGCCATCCATGCAACAGCGAAACCACCCAGCCAGTCAATGCATCGCTTCCGTCTCAGACGAGGTAACAACGGAACCGATAAACAGGGTACAGCATCGTTGTGTGAAACACATAGGGGGGTCGTACTTTTCCGCTGAGGGGAGAAGTCGTATTTGGTCGTTGGGACAGGGGGGGGGGGATCGTATGTGTCTTCAAGAGAAATTTGCTGTGTTGGGAAAAAATTTTTCCCGGTTGTTGACTTTTCGCGTGATTTTCCTGTTTCATGTGTACTATATACCCCTCGCCCCCCCTACCGCTCGACGGAAAATTTTTGGGTGAAAAACTGGAAAATGTGGGGAATTGGTAGGTAAAAGTTGTTGGGGAAGAGGGGGGGGGTAGTACCGAGACCCTCTTTGAGGTGGG